CTCTTGGGCAAACTTGACTCCATTTTTTGGATCAATGTGTTGAGGACAAGAGAGTGTGGTCCATTTCCTCACATGGTCTTTTTACTTGTGCATCCTTCTTCAACTTCCAAATTCAGCAATCTAGTTTGGGGGTGAACACTTGGCTTTCTCCTAAGATTCAGGCTTTTTGTTGGGAAGTTTTCCTTGGTAAGATTAACACCATTGACATGCTGCAGAAACAAAGGCCAAACACTTGGCTTTCTCCTCAAATGTGCTTTCTTTGCAAAAATAATGGTGAAACTATTTCCCATATGTTCTTATCCTGTCCTTTTGTGCTTGGTATTTGGGAACATCTTTGTTCTATCTTGGGTGCAGGTGGTCTCCTCCTCAGGATGTGATAGGGCTCTTCGATCCAGCTTTCTTGCAACAATCAAAGGCTAGAGGAAGGCTAATGTGGAAAGCTGTGAGAGCTGCATTGATTTGGACTGTTTGGAAAGAAAGAAATGGAAGGATCTTCAATGATAAGAGTAGACCTGATTTAGAAGTCTTGGAAACAATTAAAATAAAGGTTGCTCATTGGGTAAAGTCAATGGAGGATTTTAAATCTTTCTCTATAAATGATATCCTGAGAGAGTAGAAGGAGGTGGCTATGTCAGCTCAAAATAAGGAAAGAAAAGTGATGGAATGGAGACAACCAGAAGCCAATTGTGTAAAACTCAACTTTGATGGTAGCTACATAGGCAATCAGGCTTCAGCTGGGATGGGAGGGGTCTTTCGAGACTCAGAAGGGAAGGTGCTTGCTTTATATTCAGGTCCTGTAACCAATGGTGATGCAGTGACAGCAGAATTGTACAGTCTTCTTCGGGGCCTTAAATTTGCTAAGCTGTTTGGGTTTCTTAACATGGAAGTGGAAGGAGATTCTCAAGCGGTTATCTCATGGACAAGAAACAGTACCAAAATCCCATGGGTTTTACAGGCATACAGTCCATGAAATTGAATCCCTAGCAAGAGGGATGAATGTCACATTTAGATGGGTTAGAAGAACAGCAAATGGGATGGCAGACACATTGGCTAAACAAGGGACTACAAGACAACAAATTTTTTGGGTCAAAATTTCTTCTATTCCAAAACCACATTGGGGTATAAAGAAATATTACCCATGTTATAATTTGATGGCTAACGTCTTTTTGTCAACCATGAAGCAAATTAGCGTTTTATGCTTTTCAACACAATCTACTTGTAAATATAAATTTATGTCCTTGGAAAAGTTATAGAAAATTTGTAAAAGACATGTTTACAGGAGTAGGATAAACTTTTTGAACTTACGAATGCAGCAGCAGATTCATAACCATGGCATTATGGAAGTACAGAAGAAAGGATGAAGTAATCTTGTAAGATATTATGTGTTAAGATATTAACTTGAGTAATGTATATTCTGTTGTTTATTACCTATGGCTGTCTTATCATTTAGTCCCATCCTCCTTATCTCTTTGCTTTGATGGAGAAATCTATGATCTTAGGATTGTTTTTGAAGGATCTTAAATGCTGAGGTGGGTAAACAATCTGGAGTTGTGGAAGGATGATTGAGTAAGAGTTTATAGTTCAATGCTGATAAGGAAGAGGAGATGAACAGGCAGGTCAAAGGGGGAGGGATGGAGGTTGAAGATGAGGGTATTTTGGGAATTGTAAAAAAGAGTAGTTTGCATGGGGTAGGTTTGGAGGGTCTTAATGAATGTGGAGACTGCAAGTTTCTGAGAATAAATGAAAGATGTGGGGCCCATCCAAAGTCAAATAAATAAGTTCATAAGATGGGCTCTCTGTTTTCAGGGGATAAAGGTGGTAGGGGGGGTAATAGTTAAGAGACATGTCTGGCCATGAGGAGGTAAGGGTGGGGTTTGATAAGGAAGTGGAGAACATTTTGAACTAGGGAGTTAAAAAGGTGGCTTGAAATGGGAGACATGATGAAGGATCGAGTGGGGCTCACTCTTTGAAAATAAAGTTCAAAAAGATAGGCATAAGTCTTTCCGCTTGGCAAATTTAAAGGTTTATAAAAGGAAATTGTGTCTTTTAACTAAGAGGCTTGGGGTTTTGATCAAAAAGGTTCTCAGGTGAGGAACAGAAGGGAGAGGGGGAAAATTGGGTATGGGTGATTTCTAAATATGACAAAAATGGAAAGAAGACTTCTACGATATCGGAAAAGGAGTTTCTTGATCTTGAGGAAGTTCAAAATGCTTCAGATGCTGAAAGTGTTTCAGGTTCGTGTGTTCGAGTGCCTAGTGATCCGGTGTTAGCCTTAGACGTGGGTGATAGTGAGGAGATTGAGGTCAGTTCATCTCAGGAAAACATTCTTGACTTTGGTGAGACCTTTTTAAGGGTTCCAGGGGAGGTTCTTAAAGAAGTGAAGGTTGGGTTAAGGAAAGGGGAAAAAAGTTGTGGAAGGGAGCAGTAATGATGAAATGGGGAGAGAGGTTGGTGAGGCTGGAGGGGTAAGTTTGGCTGATGCCATGGGCTGCAATGATTCTTCACAGATCGAGAGATCAGTCAAGGATCACCTTGTTTTCGAGGAAGTAGTGGTTGGATGGATTGATGTGGAGTTGGACCGAAGGAGGAAGACCAAAGAGAAGAGTTTGAGTGAAGTTGTAGTGGTGACCACTAAGAAACCTTGGGGGTCAAGAAACCTTCAAATTGTTCACCTTACTAAAGTCTTTCTCGTCTGAAACTTGGTCTGATTGGGCGGGGCCTACAAAAAAACTTTATAAAGGTGTAAGAGAAAGGGTGTGAAGATGTCCACGCCAATTAATGCTGCTGTTGTTGGGCATGATTCCCATAATCACTTCAGATTGGATTCTCAGCTAGAAGGTTTACAACTAGAAAGAAAGAAGAATATTGAAGTTCTTGAGTCGACCGAAGGTGTTGGTTACTACTTCTGAAGAAAAGGCGGATGGGTTAGGAAGCTTGCCTATTGAGGAAGTCGTTGAAAGAGAAGTAGCAGTTGGTAAAATGCTATGCCGGTTTTTTTGGGGTGGTGAGGAGTTTGCTAGAAGAGCCTTTGAGGAGTTTGAGAGATCAAAGAAAGAAGAAAGGTTGATAAAAGCAGAGGTTGGCGAAAGTGACGAGATCTGGAACGAGGATGATGAAAGGCAAGAGGAATTATTTGAAAGGGATGAGACTAGGGTGATGATTTTTGCTAGGTGCCATATTGGCTTTGGTGTAGTTGGTGGTGTGTGGGAGTCTTTGGGGTTGAGGATTTTGGAATGCTTTTGTGCCTATTAGTTGAGTCTGGTGGTTCTCTGGTTCTTTGAGTTCTTATTTTGAGTCTTTTGTAAACTTTTGTTGGTTGTTGTTTGAGTCTTATGTAGTGGTGTATTTCCCTCTGGTGATATCTTAATGCCTTCCTCATGTACTCTCCCTTTTTCTTTTTTATTGAACTTTTTCTTTTGCTATTAAAAAATTACCTATGGCCAGTAATAAATAGAGGGGAGATATGCCAAAGTAATCATAGTCTTTGATTAAAGGTAACAAGGTAGAAATTACAAATTAATAGACTGCAGCTTGCAAATTAAAACAAACCTTTCCTTGCCATGTTGTATGCAAGTTCATGGTGCTACAAATAAGAATTAGACTGAAGTAGACCTGTCAAGCTTTCACCATTACCTGCTAATCCAAGATAAAGCTCAAGATTCACTTGACTGGGGAATCCCACGTATTTACTTATTGATATCTTAGTTCAACAACATCTAGGAGTTCTTTATGACTGCATTATAAAACCCTATGGGACCTACTGAGTATTGGGAATAAACAAATGGGTTTTAAACACGAATAAGAGTCTCAGGAAACTTCTAGTTTCAATTCTTTCAAATTCTAGTTCAATAGCAGTTTTAGTGAACTTAAGATACATCTAATATTTATGGTAAGTCCAGTTATTTATTATTTCTAATGTGTATGATGTTACTGTTCAAATATATCTATGGAATTTCAAGAGTGTATTGAGAAATTCTACTTCCATTTCCATAGAAGATTCAATTTGAAGTCTCTATGCTGAATTTTCACTATTTTCACTTGTTTCATAAAAAAGGCAGCCCAGTGCACAAGGCTCCCACCAATGTGGGGTCTGGGGAGGGACAGATGTGCGCAGCCTTACTCCTGCACATACAGAGAGGCTTGTTTCATCTTTTCTACAAAACCTTGTGGTTTTATTTTTTATTAAATGAGTAAAAGGTTAATCTGGATGCAACTAGGTATGAAATTAGTTTAGTTTAGTTAATCATAACTGTTGAGTTCAAGTCCCTAAATATGCACCCATCAATAGAATGTAAACCTCTGGGTTGAGTGCAAGTCATTTCTATATGGCATAAAATAACCCCAATCTTCAGTGATTAATGCTCAGCAAAGGCTTTAATTAACTTTAAATGTAGTTGTTGCATGTGGTTGCGTGTGGCATCCAGACACAGAAAAATGATTCTTTGTTGAAGGTAAGATAACTCTGCTTGGTGTGACTGATCAACTCCTGAACTTTCTTGAGTAGTAAGTTTTTCCATTTTTACCACATCTTCCACACAATAGAACCTCAAAGTATCTTTTTAGTTCCCCAAAAAATCTCTTTGTAACTTATAATAATATCTCCATTGTTTTTTAAATTCTTTCGTTAGTAAAACCCAAGTTTCATTAGCTAAAGCCCTAATCCTACTTCCCATAGTTAATCTTTTACAACAATTCAAACCCTCCTGAAATTGGCATCCTAATTTCCTTCAACTACCATCACACTGGTACACCTTACAGTTCAACTGTAATGCTACTCACCTCAGAGAGTGTAAGAAAACAGAAGCATAGACTATCCAGGAAATAACAAGAAATAGGATGCTAAAAATTCTAAATTGATCATAAATTTGAGATATCATATTCCTGAACCAGAAAAGAAGGGAATAAATCAAGGGAGCCACTCAGCATGAAATAATAAAAGAATAAACAGAACAAAAATAAATCTATGGTATAGCTTAGATATGATATTAAAAGGCAACTACCTTTATCGAGCTCAAGCTCAACTGAATCCAATTCCATCTCAAGCTTGGTCACTATATCTTGAATGTGATCCACATGTGTGTCAATAATATGAACAACAAGATTGGAGACAGTGTGTGGAACTGGATTATCAGCCTCCTCAGAATGATTCATTGTCAACAGAAACTCAAGAACATGCTCTCTGATCACGATCCCACCCTCTCCGTTCTCCTCACCTCCAACGGGATTCTCCACACTGGGAATCTCGTAAAGAAGAGATTGAGACAATGGAGAGAACCCCAATCTCGGAACACGACCTAGAGAAACCGTGATCACAGAGTTCTCAGTGACTCTTGCAGCAATCCTGAGGGTGAAATTGCTGGAAGAAGGGCCTGGTGAATTAACCCTGAAGACAAGTGCTCCATCAACATGCCCACAGAAGGGCCCATTACTGACGAGTGAGAGGATATCTTGGAGTTTCAGAGGAGGGCAAAGGACATCAATAAGGTATTGCGCTGACAATGAGAGTTTCTGATTTCCCTTTGGAAGTTCAACGTGATACCAGCAAAATTCTCTGCCATTCCCTTCTGTGAGATCCCATTCCTTGGTGAAGTAACCCCCCAGGCCATCAAATATATAAGCTTTCTTCCTCACAGCGCCAGGAAATTGTGTCCGATAGAGACGGGTTTCCTTGATAGAGGTTTCAGCAGAGTTCTCCTGACTGTCCCGACTGTTCCGACTCTCGGTTTCCTCTGCCTCACCATTTACAATTGATTCTTCAAGCTCCATATGTATTCAGAAAATAGTCTCTCTCTCTCCCCTCAAATTATCGATTCAGATAACCAATAGAGTAATAAAACAATACAACCCAAGATTCATGCAGCCTTTACCATCCAAAACTCTCCTCTTTATTTAAAGATCCCCTTTTAGTTCTGATCTCCGTGTTTCAAAAATCTTAAAATTTCCGTAATCCAATATCAGGGCACTATCACCAATAACTCTCGATCAAATTCAATGGAAGAAATGAAAAAAGTGGCCTCAAAAAAAAAAAAAATTCCATCAAATCAGGGAAGATTCGAAAATCAAAAGCTCACATCCGAATCATCGTAGGTCAAACAAGGAGTCTCCACCGTCTGCATTCCTAGGAAAGACCAAGATTTCAATCTTCAGCATTCCACAACTCAGTAAACGTATCCACATCAATCATCAATCAAGGGAGAAATAACCCAAAGGTTCTTACCTCAATAAAACCCTCGAAAACCAGCTTCCAATCTTTGCCCAGTTCAGATACCGAAAAAACCATCACAAATCATCAGAAAGAAACAGAGAAAATTAACCTGCACTCCTTGTTTGCCCTTCTTGATTCGCTCAACGCCTCAACCAACCAAAAGCAAAAGAAAAAAAAAAAAAAATCAACTAGTATTTTAGATATTTTGTAAGTTGTAACAGAGGAAGAGGAAGAAACCCATAGCGACAGGAAGACAAACGGTGAGGCCTACGCTATCGTTTGCCTCCCCGTGGAGTTTCCTGGATGGTTCCTCCCTCTTATTGAGAATTTAAAATTTTTATCTATTATTTTAGTCAAACCCACCGCCAACCAAAGCGGAGGTCCAAAATCAATCACATCTTTCGTCGATCAAAAATAATTCAAAAAAGCAAATCTATCTTTTTCTATCCGTACCCAAAACCGTTATAAGCTCCAGCTCTTTAAATACTTGGTGCATAATTCAATTTGATGTTTCTCATAATAGGAGAAAAATTAAGGACAGCGATAGAGAGCTTATTTG